GAATAAATGTATTCTATTAAAAATAATTGATACTTATAAAAACTTTTACTGGTGCAGGGGGAGCAAGAAGCTTACTAGTGAAGAAAATGGTTGAAGAGGAAACTGCGTTTGCCATATTAAAGCTGCTGATTGATGTTTTTATCTTTACCCTTTAGTGTTCTGTTAGCTTCGTTTGAAATCATATGTATGGATCCTTTACCACAATTGCCTTGTTCTTGTGTATACGCTGGTTGTATATTGTATAGGGCACAAATACCATTGTTTTTAGTTCAACCAAAGGGTGAGAGTTTTAATAAACATTCAAAACACATCAATAGTGGATATCTTACATGAGAAAGTAAAATTAAAGTTATATGTTGGAGTAAATAAACATATAAAGTTACAGTTTAAAATTAAATGTTGGACTAAATAATTGTATTATGTTATTTCAAAAAAATAAATATTAGACTAAATAAATTTATTAAGCAATTGAATAAATATAAGATTAATTTTAAGATGATTTTGTACGTATTTTTGTGAGGAATACATACAAAATACTGATATGTATATTTTGTTAAGACCACATTCAAATTTAAAAATTATTATTTAATTTAAATTTTTTATTCAATTATTTATTTATTACTTGTCTTAAATTTTAAAGATATTATTTATTTTATAAATTAGATCAAATTAACGTGATTTTATAATTTATTTTTTTAATCATTCCTTAAAAATATTAAATTTAAATTAATTTCAAATATTAATATATCTAAAAAAATGTGAGTGATTGTTTTCATCTATTTTATGAATTTGTGAATTTGTTAGATATAGATTAACAATATTGTACAAGAAAAAATATTTCGAAGCACATCTCATTTTTCTTTAACTCAATTTTTTACTTAAAAATTATGTACACAGATTATATATTATGTAATATGACCAAAGGCTAAAAGGTTGTATAGATGAATCAAAATTAAAATATGTAATCAAAATTAAAATATGTAAATGTTGAATATAAAGATATGACGCACATACATAGAAAGAATAAATTGAAAATTACCATGTAGCAGTTTTTTAATAAAAAAACATGGGTCTACATGTAATCTGGACAACCAAATAATTACCCATATATGTACCTGGTTCTAAAAGAAGAAAAAAATACTTGACGTTAGCCCAAGGACACGTGGCGGCGATGTATGACGTCCTCTTTAGCACTCCGACGTTCTCCTTAGCGTAATGCCTGCAAAATAGAGCCTCAGGGTCCTGCCCAAGGGTAGATCTCCCGATGCTTAAATTAAAATAGGATTGTAGAGTAAATGTAGAAGAAGAGAGAATATCCCGTTAGCCCATGTTTGCTTTGCAGGATTAGGCAGGAATCCGCGTTATCAAAGGATTTCCTGCGACTCTTTCTAGTATGGAATGATATCCCGCCTTATCCTGCCTTAATCCCTTATTTGGTTGAAAGGATGGCGGGCCACTTGAATCCCTTCGGCTCGGGATTAAAACATCTGTAATTTTGGTTTCATGAGATAACTCAATCACAACTATTTGGGGGGATATCAACAATCCTGACATGTATAATACCATCTTTGTCCCTAACTTTTATTTTTTGATTTATTTCATAAAGGTAAAACAATATTTTACACCACATTTTTTTTTTAAAGCTGAAGTTATCCTACCCGATATCATATATAACAAACATAGGATTAGTTTTATCCCAACAGTAATGCTTCACAATTGGACTATTTTAGTCCAATCCCAACCTAAAAGCAAACATGGGCTTATTAGTTTTAACCTAAGTCGTCCTTTTATAGAGGTGAGACGACCTATGTCTTCCCTTAGCAGACAAAGGACTCCCAAGCTCAGTAGTTTTGTGGATTATGGTACATAAATTAGGCTGCCTCGAGACCTTGAGCCTAAAACTAATGTTGGACTTCAGTTTTTACCTTAGACACTCACGGTCCTTGAAATACACATGTCTCTATTATTCCGAGCCACGTGCCGTTTAATAAAAATATATTTTTCTTTATCAATTATTGTTTTAGCCAATTAATTTACAAATTACGATACAATATAAGCCTGGGTTGACACTAATTTTGAATTTCCGAAATTTGTGCGAGTTGGTGCAAGTGCAGGAGATGGATGGGATGGAGAATTTGTGACCACCGCTTCTAACCAAAGAAACACGTGTCTGTAAGAAATTTAATGGACATACTCATAACTATCAGGCGGAATTGAATAAACCCTAAGCCTGTAATTCTATCAGTTCATAGAATATGGATCTTTGCATAAATTAAATTGCACATAGAACTTACAAGAATCCAGCTTATAGTCCTTCCCTGTTTTCTTGATCTATGATGTTGATCTACGATCTCTTCCTCGTAATCTCATGGATGTATCTTTCTTCCTCGTAATCTCATGGATCTATCTTTCTCTTTTAATTTCCAATGATGGATTCGCCTTTGCCTATGAATTGTTTCTCTATCCCGCGTCTCTCGTCTTTCCATAAAGTTCTTGATGTTGAGAACTTTATTTTCGTATGAGATGGGAGAGAGGGGCATGTAGTATATATAGGAGGAGACTTACAAACCTATTCCTACTAACATTCCCCATGTTCTAAACCTAACTTACTGTCCAAGTCAAACATCACAAATTGGACTCTTTAATATTAGAACATTAATAATCCATTAAATACATATTCACCTTAATTAAGTTTGACTATTAATTCAATTAGGTCCAATTAATTATATGGTCCACAATAATAGAATAATATAAAAATATTATAACATTCTCCCACTTGGACCATATAAGTGTCGAAACCCAAAGAACTACTTTAAGCGCGCACTTTTCATCAAACTTATGATTGAATACATATATCTATAAGTTTAAAATTAAAATAGAAATTAACCGAGTCATGGCGGTCACAAGTCTTCGAGCGACATGATCCCTTCCATGTACCACAAATCATTTCTAATTCAACTTTGCTTTAATATGGAACAAGCTATTCGTACCATAACCATATGCCATCCAACTTTTATGTATATACTATAAAATCAAATATCCATAATGATGGTATTATATGTGAAGAATTAAACATCTTCAATCGAATTCAATAAGTGTCAAAATCATTAATTGAGCAATTTCATTCTGTATCAGTCATTCCAACAAGGCCCTATTCGTTATTCCCAATTATCTTTATATGCCTTGCAATGGCTATAGGGAATAACCCTTTAATGGATCCGCTTTCATGCAAGTAGTACTAGAATGCTCAAATGACACTTTAGTTCTTCACTTCTATTTTTTATGACCAAGTATTTAAATTTTATGTTGATTCACACCCTTTGAATACTTGTCATTCCTTGAAACTACGATACGGCGATAATTTCTTAGCGGCTTGGACAAGATGTCGACACTTCCAAGTCCTAAGATAAAGCATCGTAGCCCTAAATTTGACTTGTAGTCTCAAAGCATACTACAAACTCAAACTTAATCGTGGAAGTCGCGGTGATGGACTTTGTCTCACTTTTCTATAATTTTGCTCCTTTAGACATTATGAGCAAAAGTCTGAATCCGAGTATCCAATTATAACCAATAATTTGGATCTTCTTTAAGTTAGCATGTGTTATTTAATGCCTTGTAAGTACTTTAAAAATTTCTTTGCAGCATAATCATTTAAAATCATTTTTATATTTGTTTAACGTACCAACAACAAATATATTATCAAACCTAGTACAGGTTCGTCTCACTTAATACTCCTAATAATTTATATCTAAGGAATTTTCCCCATTACTTTTCATTCCATTTCACCTTTCTGACATTTATTTAGACTAAATGTACCTCTTTTATGAATTAGAATTATTCTTATGGAACAACCATCCATTATCTCTCAAATAAAACTTTTATGGGATAAACTTTTAGTCCTTGTGATCTATTCCAGAATATTTCTATTCCAATTACCAAGGACGTTTCATCCACATCCTTTATTTCATAATAATTTTTTTAGAGAGATAATACTTTACTTCGTGCAACATGTCCACATTATTAGCAACTATAAATATGTCATCGACATACGAAACTTAAATAACAAATCTACTCCCACTGACCTTAATGTAGATACACCGATCTACGGTATTCTCCACAAAACCGTAAGCAGTGATGGTATCATTAAACTTAAGATACCATTCACGAGAGACAAGTTTTAGTTCATATATTGATCTATTCAACTTACACACTAACGTTTCATTTCTTGTGATCTAAAAAACTTTTAATTAGTTCATGTAGATCTCCTTCTAAGTTTATCATTTAGAGGGTAATCTTTATGTCCATTTGATAAAGCTCAAAATCATACAGAGCCACCATTACCATTACAATTCTCAAAGAATCTTTCTTGAAACGAGAGACATAATGCTCCCTTGTAGTCAATGCCTTCATTTTGGGTTTAACATTTACCAACAAGTCTAACATTATATCTTTCGATATTACCTTTAGAGTCGTGTTTGATTTCGAAGAACCCATTTACACCCAACTCTTTTAGACCCTTCAGGTAAATCTATTGAAATCAAGACTTTATTTTCTTCCATTGACTTTTATTTTTCTTTCATGGCATTGATAAACTTTTCTAGAATTTTTACTTTTCATGGCTTGTCATTCATCAACCAAAGGTTGTTCTATAATTTCTTGATAGCTTGTGGCCGATTCATTATCAAGTGAGTTTGGATCATTTCGTTATTCATCTAAGTTACATGACGGTATTGTACCTAAAAGAATAACAACCATTGATGGACTCTCGGGTTTGGACTGTTCAACCCGAGTTTCTTTGACATCTAAACTTTGCGGTTCCAAACTCCCACTGATTTGATCATTTTAAATGAATTAAGCATTGTGGGAATCAACTATCCTCGTACTATGGTTAGGGCTATAATACTTATATCCTTTAGAACTTTTTCCAAATAGCCAATGCATAACCACTGGTTGTCCTAGGATTAAGTTTCTTTTCATGTGAATTATATACTTTTACTTCTGCTTGACACCCCCAAACATAATAGGAACTACTTTACCAGGAACCCGATTTACCCAATATGCAGCAATCTTTAACACATGCATCCACATAGAAAACATTAATGTTGAATTACTCAACATACTCCTAACCATATTCTTTAATTACGATTTATCCTCTCAACAACACCATTATGTTGAGGAGTCTCAATTATAATGTATTGTACACAAATATTTCAAATCTCAAGAAACTTTGCAAATGGATTAGGACATTATCCTCTTTTATTGAACTTACAATAATATTCACCACTCTAGTGAGATCTCACAACTTTTACTTATTTATCTAACTACCTCTCCATCTCATCATTGTATATCTTTAGATAGTCCAATGATTGAGTCATTTCATATAGTAGATAAATATAACCATAACATGAGAAATCATTTATAATGGTGATTGCTTTATACCGTCCCCACAAGGGAACGTCGAATAGACCACAAAAAATTAGTGTAAAGAAGTTATAAGATTTTAGTGCTTCTATCGGCAGATCTCTTTAATGTATGTCTAGTTTGCTTTTCTTTAATTCATTCTATACATACATCTTGATCGCTAAAATCTAAATGAGAAATGGTTTCATTATTCACCATTCTAAAAAACTTTTCTTCGGATATGTGACCTAATATTTGATGCCATAAGAGAGCAGAATTTTAATTATGTGCACTACGTTTAACCTCAAAATAAATATGAGATACATAAGTAGTTGCACAGAACCAAGCCACCAAGTATTATTGGGAATCTTTAATAAATTTGATTCACAACATACGAAAATTTAATGTATGTCTTTCTTTTCGAATCAAGATTTTTTTTTGGGCAATCTTTCCTGAGGTGGCCTAACCTTTTACAGAAATAACACCTCATTTCTTTAATGATTGGACCTATAAAAACTTTAAGTAAGTCAACCTTCTTTTATTTGCCTTCATTTCCCATTTTATCATACTATTATTGACTCCCACATGAGAACTGACTCTTCTTTCATCTCATTTATTCCCGCCTCTTCCTGCACCAGCATAGCCTTATTTTCCTTACAATCCCATTTATCTTTAATGGTGTTACAGTTCACCTAGGATTGGCCAAACTCGACAGGTAGGGAGTTCATGATGAATAGAACCATAAATGAGTCTATCACATTCATTCTCATGTTTGTAAGTTTAGCTTATATGTTGAACATGTGGGTCACGAAATCATAGATGGAACGGAATCAGATGAACTTTCATAGTGGTAAGCTCGCTAATGAAACTATCCACAACAACATTTTCCGTAATTTTAAATGGAGATAATTCCTTAATCATTCCTAGGAAGTCTTTCGCATTGTCAGCCTTTGGAATTGAAACTTTAATGTCATCCGCCATGGTTAGTTTCATAAAATTCAAGCACAACCTATTTGATCGCTCCCAAGCCGTACAAAGAGATACCTCTTCTTCGGAGCTTTCATCAGTAATGGTTGCGGGTACTTCATCACTAACTAGAGCTATATCCAAATTCATAACACCTAACTGAAAATGGATGTGCTCAGACCATTCATTGAAGTTCAGCCCATTGAATTTTTCCAACTATAATACTGTACGGATAACCAAATTTTGAACGCTGCAAACTTTAATACATGCTATTTAATTAAGCTTTGAGAGAAAGTTAATGGATTCAGAAATCTTTTATATTATATATTTAAATATACCTTTGGGCAAATACTTAAATATATAATATAATTGATTGATGCCTAAGAGGAAAGATCTTTAATAGAAATTATAGGTATTGTGATTAATTAGCGGTTATCTTTGGACAAACACACTAATTAACCTAACTTTAATATAACTTCTCTTTTAGTGTCATATATTACAAACCATGGCCCACCTGTGGGTGTCCTCCTAGTTTATAATCTATAACATCAATTATTCAAATATTATAATATTAGGGTACATTAATAAGACATCGTCTTATGTTTGAATAATTGATACTTTTATCTAATTTAATTATCTATTCCGTAAATTAAACTAGGTCACTTTGGTGACTAACTAGTTTCTTACATAGATAATATAATTAGTTAATATTTTATTTTAATTATATTTTATCTCTTTTTTTTTTAACGAAACAATAGAGGTACTATTAAAAAACTCAAACAAACCACGTTCGAATATTACAAACCAACCGGAAAGAGAAATGGGAGGACACGCGCAAGGCGGCCTAGAACCTCAACAAACAAACGGACTAACTGAAAAAACCCTCCACTGCCTAAGCCTAGAGGTGGCAAAATGCCTAATCAAAACCAAACCGCAAAGAGTTTACAAGACCAACAAAAGAGAAAATGAAAAAGATTAAAACTAAGAAAAGGGGAGTGTCAGGTGGTAGATGATCCATGCTGTTTTGCAGTTGAGTAGTCCAACAATTTGCCTGAGCTGCTTTGAGGATCAGTTGCACCGGGATATGCTTGCCTTCAAATATACTAAGGTTCTTTACATAGATAATATAATCAGAAATAATTTATTTGATTGTATATTATGAGATTATCTAAACTATTATTAATCTTTATTTAGAAATTCATTGACTTTCATACAGTTCATAAAATAAAACTGAAACGGAACTGTTCATAAATAATTCTAAGCCCATCTCATGGTTGCCGGCACAAAAACAAATAATTCCTAAGCAACCTTAATCAATGATGATTACATAATCTAATCAAAATTCTTTCAGCAACAATCAATTTGCAAAGCAAATTATTCCCATCAACTGATTGTGTAAATAGAGATTAATAATAATCAGAAACAAAACAAAATTGCAAAACAAAAAACCACCGAATGCAATTCTCATGCCGTAAATAATTCCAATCAAGGTGCAACTATTTCAGACGCAATGCAGCAATTTCATTTTGACCAATTTCGCTTAAATTCAGTAACTGATTGTGTAAATAGAGATTAATAATACGCATACAATAACTTTAAGGCGTACGCAGTCATACCGGGCAAAACTGATTCACCGTTTTTAAACTTTAATCGGCAAGATAATCATGCATAAACAAATGCTCTGATACCACATGTAAGAAATTTAATGGGCATACTCATAACTTTCAGGCGGAATTGAATAAACCCTAAGCCTGTAATTCTATCAGTTCATAAAATATGGATCTTTGCATAAATTAAATTGCACATAGAACTTACAAGAATCCAGCTTATAGTCCTTCCCTGTTTTCTTGATCTATGATGTTGATCTACGATCTCTTCCTCGTAATCTCATGGATGTATCTTTCTTCCTCGTAATCTCATGGATCTATCTTTCTCTTTTAATTTTCAATGATGGATTCACCTTTGCCTATGAATTGTTTCTCTCTCCCGCGTCTCTCGTCTTTCCATAAAGTTCTTGATGTTGAGAACTTTATTTTCGTATGAGATGGGAGAGAGGGGCATGTAGTATATATAGGAGGAGACTTACAAACCTATTTCTACTAACATTCCTCATGTTCTAAACCTAACTTACTGTCCATGTCAAACATCACAATTGGACTCTTTAATATTAGAACATTAATAATCCATTAAATACATATTCACCTTAATTAAGTTTGACTATTAATTCAATTAAGTCCAATTAATTATATGGTCCACATTAATAGAATAATATAAAAATATTATTACAGTGTCATCTTCTCTCCATGCGGTGGTTCCACCAATACTCCCTCCCCCTATTTAGTTTACATACACCTCTCTCCATAGCTACATTCATCAAATTGAATTCGTCTTATTCTAATCTCTCATCGCCCCATAACTTGGTTAGCCATATTATATAAATTGAAAAAAACAAAGACATTATATAAATTGAAAAAAAAAAATATTAGAATCTGCAGCCATGATAGAATTGATTCACACATTTCTCAACTTAGCAGCTCCCCCTTTCACCTTCTTCTCCCTTTCGTTTTTGTTGCCGCCTTTTCAGACATTCAAGTTTTGCCTCTCTGTTTTGGGTACCCTTTTCTCTGAAGATGTTGCAGGCAAAGTTGTCCTCATTACCGGTGCTTCTTCCGGCATAGGCGAAGTAAGTATTTATATATATCTACCCCAAAATAAATAAATTGCCTCAACCAAAGTCAGACCTACTTTCTTATTTCTAATTTGTTTTCTGGTCCTATAGATTATTTAGCTAATACTTTTATAATATTAGTCAGTTTTCCATCACCAACTATAAAATATTAGGTAAAATTTCAAAATTCACTTATGAGCATCAGCTACGAGCTAGATATACCACATATATATTCATTCGGTGATTTTTAAGCATGTTTGGAAATTATAGTTTCTTTTTCATTATTTTAAGGTTCTTATTCGTTATCTTATTTATTTACAGTTTAGTTGTAGAGAATCTGTTAATGCGCTACTTACGCATATTCCTGTTAGTGGTTTAATAATGAAATAATTGTTACACGTGTACACAGAGCCTAGCTTATGAGTATGCTAAGAGACGGGCATTCTTGGTTCTGGCGGCCAGGCGAGAAGGAAGTCTTGCTGACGTGGCTGAAAGGGCACGTGATTTTGGGTCGCCAGATGTTGTGATTGTACGTGGTGACATGTCCAAGGTGGAGGATTGCAGGAGGGTTGTTGATCACACAATGAATCATTTTGGTAGATGTAAGATCATACCCCCAATCTTTTTATTAATATTTATGTTAATTAATGTTTTTTTTTAATTTAGTTTGTATTTTCATTACATGTCTTCAGTGGATCATTTGGTGAATAATGCTGGAATTTCGTCTCTTGCCATGCTGGAAGAGGTTGATGATGTCATTGATTTTAGAGCCGTTCTGGTATGATCCTGATTGTTGTTGGACTAATTTGTATATGCTGCTCTACTGCTAATGCCCAATAAGGCAATAGATTGCTTAGACTATATAAAAAAAGTTACAATGAGTGTCCTCTTATTTAAGATTGAAAACAACATTCAACATTTTCTTTTAGATGATGTTGATTCTTAAATTATGCTCCCTTTCATTCCATCCATTCTAGCTTCTGCAGATCTTCTGAGCATGAATATTTGTATATGTTCTTGAATTATGAGAGTGAATGTTTATCAATATAATATTTTTTTGGTGAACACCGTTTTTTTTTTCCCGAAACGATAGATAATATTATAAATCAAAATGTACAAATATGTGAATACACAGCAGCCAACGACTGAATACACAGCAGCCAACAGCTGAAAAAGTGGGAGGACAGGTCAGAAGCCCGCCTAGAATCCCGACTAGCAATGCTAGAGTAAAAAAACACACTCACAACTAAACTAACCAACAACACAAACAACTAGAACAACTACAAGGACCCCAACAGGGTAATACCCTAGTGTCGGACTCCAACGGAGTAATAAGTTTGACACTCGGGCTCACAGGGGCCAACGGCCCAAACCAAAAACATAAACCACAAATAACACAAAGACGAAAACTAAAGCAAGAACACAAGAAATAAATAAATCTGAAACCCTTCCCTATCGAACGAGTAAGCTCGGACAAACAGTGAACAATTGACGTAAGACCAATCCAGGCCAAGCACCAGCTACCGAAACTGCAATCAAGCCTATACAGCAGCGGAACCCAAATCCCGAACTAGTTCTCGGAGCAACCCATCGACAACCGAGAGAGCCATAGTCCATCCTACTCCGATTCAATCTGAACTCTTCTAACACCTTTAGACGAGACCACTAGACGAGACCGATAGAAACTTCCCCGCTACCTAACACCATTAGTCAACGGGGGATTAAGCAAGAGAGGATAGCCCTCTCCCTGGCCGCCACGACAAAGAACGACGCAGTAACCAGGGTCCCGCCCCCACTCCACCGACATCCATCGACAATCGGTCGGCCCCACCAGAAGAGGTGAAGCTCTACCGTTCTCCGGCAGATCCGATTCTCGCAAACAAAGAGAGAGAAGACGAGGCTTACCGTCATAAGTCACAGTTCCTCCAATGACTGAAAAGAAGGATCCAATCGCCGGCCTTGTTTCGACCTCGAGTTGCGCCCCCGCCGTCCGGTACTCCATCTACAACCTCGACTCTGCCGCCCCGCCCCGTCAATGGACCATCTGCAGCTGATTTAGGGGCGCTCGACGCCAGCGGGGCCGCGAACAGTTGAGGACGACCCCAAGCCGAGCAGTACCGACCACGAGGAAGGCTGATTCGCCGGAAATTCAAGGCTGTGAAGGTAGGGTTTCGCGAGAGGATTTGGGGCTCGGATCTGTCAACACCGTTGTATTGGAGATAAATGAATTTGCAGTGGAAGCTCATATCAAAAACTAAAATTTGACACATTTGATATAATGGAACATAAGAATAGGATTATATTTTTGTTGTTCCAATTTTATTAAAATCTCCAATGTAATAATTTGTGGTGTTGATTGCTAGATGTAATTTGCGGTTGCAGGACGTGAACTTCTGGGGTTGTGTGTACATGACGAGGTTTGCAGTTCCATACCTAAGGAACAGCCGAGGCAGAATTGTGGTGCTTTCTTCGTCTGCTTCGTGGCTGCCTGCACCTAGAATGAGTATTTACAATGTTAGTGCTTGCCTAAAAAAAATAAAAAAAAAGATGATGTCATGTTTGATTTTCTATTCTATTATGATCCTAAAACTTTGATTTGTGTTGCATTTACACAATCTATGAAATAGGCTAGCAAAGCTGCAATTTCTCAGTTTTTTGAAACCTTGAGGGTGGAATTCGGACTGGACATCAGGATAACACTCGTTACGCCTGGATACATAGAATCCGAGATCACTCAAGGCAAATTCTACACCAAGGTTGGCAAACTTCAAGTCGACCAGGACATGAGAGATGTAAGTATTTTTTTTTTCTCCTCTACATAATATTAATTACATCTGGATATTGTGCTCCGACTATAATTAGATTAAATTCTTGAACAAAATTTAACACACCATCTTCCAGTATATATCTATTTACTTGGTCGGCTAATTACAATCTACGCTCACGGTGTACTTCCATTTTTTTTTTCAAGAGTGTGTACTACTTCTTATGGATACTTGTATACTCTGCATTATTGTCAAAATAGCAATTAATTTCGTCAATAAATGCACAAAATTGCAAATTCACAGCAGAAGTTCATAAGCATGAAAACTATGAAATGACGTCCATGTTTATGGGACAAGTTTTGCCACTAATTTATATAATTTATTTATTATTATTATTATTATTATAGTTAGTTAATGTTCGAATTTTTTTAGGTACAACTGAACCTAATGGCGGTGCTTGGGGCAGAGAGATGCGCGAAGGCAATAGTGAGGAGTGCAGTCCGTGGAGAGAGATACTTGACGGTTCCTGCTTGGTTTAAAGTCACTTATTTGTAGAAGCTCTTCTTCCCAGAAATGGTCGAGTGGAGTTTCAGGTTGCTTTCAATGGGTGACTCACCACTCGGCAAGAAGCTTCTAGACTATTCGAGAGCCAAGAGTGTGCTTTACCCCGAGACAATTCAAGCGGCTGAGACAAAACAGGGAATAGATTTGTATGTGTTGGAATCATGGCCGACTCTAGGGGGAGGAACCAGCCCATGCCTAGGGCCTCCAATTTTTAGAGGCCTCAATTTTTTTTTTTTTTTTAATGTTTTATATATTTGTGTTTGGCTTTGTTTATTTATACAACTAAAGAGGCTAATGGGAGAATATGAACTTAGTCCATTACACACATCAAGAGGCTAATTAATGAAAGGGCCAATAATGAAATATGTACTTTGTGTAAGAATTTGAGGCCCTAAATATTTTATTTGTTTTCTTATTATGTTCGGTCAGAACAAGTTGTGTGAGAATATAAATATTCTTTATTGTAATATAAATATTTTATTTGTTTCTTATTATGTTCGGCCAGAACAAGTTGTGTGAGAAAATATAAATATTTTCTCCTCCTTGATGTCTTCATGACTGTTTGAATGCAATTTATAACTTATTAAAGGTAATTTTTTCAAAGTCTAGAAAAACAAGAAAAATCGTTTTTTTTAATTATTATTATTATTATTTTTTGTTTCAAAGTAGGAGGCCGGGGCCTAGGGATCCTCTAGAGAGTAGTGTGTCGTGGGTGCACGACGCCAACAACGTCGTGAAGCAACCACGGCTTGACCTCTGGAGGCGGAGTAAATAATCTCTAGCAGCCATTAGGACACGAGTGAGCTAACGCCGCCAAGCAATCCGCAGCAAAATTCGATTCTCGATAACAGTGCACCACTTGCACTAACCACTCCTCCTGCAATAGTGCTCTTATGGCCCGGACAACTGCATCATGTATCCCCCACTCCTCAGTTGGGCGTCCCACAACCATTTGGACAACGCTTAGGTTATCCACTTCCGCAACGACATCTCGATATCCCATGTCCCAAACTAAACGAAGTCCTTGAAGTAGCCCCCATAGTTCTGCACCCGTGATAGTTGTGTACCCAATATTCATAACGAATCCCCCAAGCCAGTGACCTTCCTCGTCGCGCACAAGACCCCCCGCCGACGCCATACTTGTTGACCGAATGAAAGAGCCGTCTGTATTCAACTTAACCATTCCCGCCATCGGCGCACTCCATGCAACCCAACACATTTGACGGCCCATGCCCAGACCTCCCAATCGCTTTTCAGCCAAAACTGCCATGTCCACATTGCGAACGAGTTTGTCAACCTCTCGAAGTTTGTGCCGAACTATAAACTCGGTTTCGGCAAATAGAGCCTCGTTCCGGCCACTCCAAATTTTCCACGCAGTAACACCAAACAACGTCTCCCAACCCTCAACGTACTCCGGTAGCTTGTTCAATAAATTACTCAACAGCCAATCTTGAAGTCCCAGGCTAAAAAAGTAGTCATGTAAACGGACAGGAATTAGTTTGCTCCAAAGTTGTTTAGCTCCAGTGCAATCCCGCAGGGCATGCAACGTCGATTCAGCCCCCCCTCCACATAGCATGCAACGTGAAGAACTTGATAAGTGCCGTCGATTTCTTTCGAGATTCGTCAAGAGTCTGTCTCTTGCCGCAAGCCATAAGAATTGGCGGACACGTTGAGGTCCCACCCAATGCCAAATTGACTTCCACAAGGCCCTGTTGGTCGGCTGCTCCGTATGAATCAAGGAATCGTACGCGGACTTCGTTGTAAAGCGACCATTTTCCGACAGCTCCCAGTACAGAGAGTCATCTTCGGAGGAGGGGTTCGGAGGAAAAATTGACGCAATCCGCATTAGCACCACTGCCGGCAAGAGGCTCGCGAATAAGTTCTAATTCCAACCACCGGATTCCGCCACAAATCTCGCCAACGGCATCTCCCATTGGTCTTCTGGGATCGGTCCTGTGGCCAACACATACAACGGCTCGGGCTGCTGTAACCATTTATCGCGCCAGAATCGAGCTCTGTTACCATTACCGATAGACCAACGGACCCCCTTCATTAACGCCGGCCACACTCTCCCAATGGCCCTCAACACCATAGAACCCTTAGGAAAAATATAGTCGTCACCCATGCACTTCGTATTAAGCTTATACTTAGCGGAGAGCAACCGAACCCATAAGGTATCCGGCTTCGTCAATAGTGTCCAACCCAATTTCATTAAAAAGGCCATATTCACCTCTCTATGCCGCTTCAAGCCTAAGCCACCAGCCATTTTGCTCTGACACACTATTTCCCAAGGAACAAGAGGGATTTTTCGCTGAGTAGTACTCCCACCCCACAAGAAAGTCCGACCCCTTTTCTCCAGCTTCTCGCACGTAGAGGATGGAAGCCAAGCCATTTGCATCGTATAATATGGGATCGTACTCACTGTTGATTGAATCAATACACATCGCCCCGCCAATGACAAAGAGCTAGCTTTCCAGCCCGCCAACCGACTATTAACCTGGGAAACAATATTGTCATAGGTCTGTGATGTAACCCGTCCATGTATGAGAGGGACTCCGAGATACTTCCCAATATGGTCCACTACGGAAAATTGAAGCAAATTTGCTAAATCTTGTCGGCGCTCCATTTGAACATTCTTCGAAAAGAATAATGTCGTCTTAGAACGACTCACCTTTAATCCGGATTGGGCGCAAAAATCCTCAAGGACTTCCTTTACTAAATGAGCTTGGTCATCCGAGGCTTCGAGAAAAAGTAGCAAATCGTCAGCAAACATGAGATAAGGAACCTTGACCTCCTTTCTGCCCACGTGGATCGGCCTCCACACACCCTCAGTGACCCGAGAATTAATAAGGTGAGCTAGCCTTTCGATACAAATGACAAAGAGATAAGGGGACATCGGATCCCCCTGCCGCACCCCCCGTGAAGGTAAGAAGGCCTCGCTCAGCTCCCCGTTAAATTGGACTTGCATGGAGGCAGAGGAAACACAGGCCATAATAGTGCGCACCAGATTGGCTGGAAACCCTGCTAAGAGTAATGAGCTCTCAATGAAGTCCCATCTTAAAAAGTCATTCTCTAGGTCCACTTTGATAACCATATATCCCTTTCGACCGGTCTTGGTGCGCATTGAATGGATGAGCTCTTGGGCGACCACTAGGTTATCTGTTATTTGCCGCCCCTAATTATTTATTTATTTAATAATCTTCTTTAATTAGATTTTTTTCTTGTATGATTCTATCTACAAATAGCCCTATCACGCAAGTTCAAATCGAAAAATTCGAAAACGTAAAATTTGCCTGGGGCCTCCAAATTTCTGGAGACGGCTCTGGTTGGAATCCTGTGACTCGGGAAGAATGTGTCAACGGTAAGAAATCAAATGTTTGGTGTTTTTAACTGTTGTGATGATGATTATCGTACAGTGTGCGTATAGTTTGTTAATTTGTTTATTGGGTTTTATGTATGTGATTCCAATAAGGACATGATGTGGTCCGAGTACAAGATATGCCAACCAATATATGATGTATGGTTATTGCAAGTATTCTATGATTACGAAATAGTACTGTGTCATCAGGTTGGTTAATCGAGTAAATTTGGTGTCTAGAAGGGAAGAAAATGTTTGATGCTTGAGAGAATAATACAAATGAAAAATGTCATCTTTTGATGATATTTGATGATGTTATAGTGTATGATAGGCAAATAGACCCCTGAAACAGATGATGGCAACTTCACGAAACGTCCTTCAACATGAACTCCTCGGATTACTTGCAAAAAAGCCGAGAGGGGTCCTGGTGGAGAAAAATTTCTAACGTCCATCGACATGAACTCATATTACTTGGTGGAGAAAAATTTCTAACTTCCATCGACATGAACTCCAATTACTTGCAAAATAATCCAGGAGGAGTCTTGGAGAAAATTTTTTGTCATTCAAATTCAATTTCACTCGTGAACTTTAGGGGATTTAATGTGCAATATGCGTTAAGTTTTATAAAGAACTTGGTAACCTCAATGGTTTTCTTCAAACTTGACCTCTGTAGTTACTAGGATAGGACAGAGATGTTCGTATTTCGTTTCCTAGTACAACTCCGAATAGATAAACTTGCTATTCCACTCTATTTCCTCCTAGTAACTTCCTTTTATCAAGTGGTTTTTTTTTCTCATCCACGTAACCTCTTTATTAGGACAGAGATCTTTCATATTTTGTCTCTTAGTATAATACGTCTTGAGATTGAGATATACTTACTATCCCAGTAGGACACTATTTCCTTCTTTATCATGACCCAGCAGGTCCTTAGGTCGTCCCACCGACCTCATGACTCTGTCACCATACTTCTTAAAAGGTTATTTATACCACTTCTGTTACACGACTCCAAGGTTGATCAAAACTCGTCCTTTGATCGAACTCATGCATGAGCCCAACTTGCTAGCTCGTAAGCAGGGCCGACTTGTACGTTGAGCTCTCATACCGAGCTTCGTGACAGGGTCAAACCCTAATACCGAGTGAGAAGCTATCTCGGATCAATTAAATTAAGCTAACCACTCTGACTGGTTCGTAGAGTAATTATGGGTGCTACATCATCTAGCCCCCTTATCCTCAACGAGCTGTCAAGCCTTATTGCAGAAAACTATAGCCTATCTTTTATACAGTCTATCAACCATCCTTGGGAAAAGTGAATGTTAGAAACTTCTCTTCCCCGTACACGTCTCAATCATGGACCGTTCATCTCTCCCCATATCAATAATCCTCCGATCACGTCGTTTCGATCACGTCCAACTAACCCTTTCACCTTGTTATAAAAGATGATATCATTCATTATTTAACAATTTCGCTCTTTGCACACCACAAATACTTCTTGCAAAAGTTTTGTGGCAACCGAAAAATTGCAACATTTCCTCCCGAATTCGACAATCGTACGTAATCAATAGGCACCTTTGAATCTAACGAATTAAACCCTAATACAATGGACTCTACAGTTAGGATTAGGACTTACAGTTTTAAAATTTTGCCGACTCTAAAACGTTTTGAATTTCCGTTGTGGAGATCGTCTTAACGCTCATCGTCACCAGACCTTGACTGTGTCTTGCATCTCACATCTTCG